AAAAGAATGGTAAGAAAGCATGTTGAAACAATTTCATATTGGTAAAATTATGGATTTTCTAATAAATTATTACTCGTTAAGTCTTACAAAGGAGGGCAAGAGAACAATTATAGACGAACTTATGACTGATGCTGAACTCACAAAGTATAACAAGTACAAATACAAAGAGATTATTGATAAAAAGCAAAAGATCTACCATAAGATATACAACATGCAAGAAAACTGAAAAGAAAGATGTAACTTATTGTGATTATACATAAAACTTATTTTATATACTTGAGAAATGTACAATATGCAGTGATTACAAACTTTTTATTTATAACAATTCATGTATACATTTAATATATATTTTTTTATATTTTATAAGAAGTAACGTAAATTTTTATCAGGTCAATCTACTATGTTCCTCCAGTAATTTCAACATCTGCTCCATTCATATAGGAATTTTTGTCTGAAACTAAAAATGCAATTACTTCTGCCACCTCTTGTGACTCTGCTATTCTTTGAAGTGGCACTTGTTTTATATATGATTGTTTTTCTGATGATGAAGTTATAGGGGTTTCTATAAAACCAGGTAGTACTGTATTAACTCGAATCCCTAATTTGTAAGATATAGACAATAGATCTATGTCTTACAAATAAGAAGAAACGTAAATAACTTCGTTAATATAATTCATGAATGAATTCGTTAATATATACAATATATACATGTAACACGTACTTTCCAAACTCCAGACAAGCAGTCTTAGTCAGCTAATATTCCAGCTTTTGTTGCACTATAGATGCCCATTCCGCATACAAACATACGCTTGGCATTGATTGAACTGATATTGACAATTGAAGAATTTTTTGTTGCATCTGGCTCTATCATCACTTTGACAGCACTTTGCGTAATCAAGAAAATACCTTTCAAATTAACATTGATTAAATCATCAAAATGCTCGCTGCTAAAATTCAACAGGTCACCTCTCCATAAAATGGAGAGCCTGCAGAATTCACAATAATGGTAGGTGGCCTTGAGAATTGCTTTATGACATCTTTAAAAGCTCTTTCAATACTTTCCAGTTCAGTGACTTGCATATGCAGAGTAACATGACCTGTACCTATAATAATAAACATACGTTGGAGGAAGATTAATATAAGAGGTAATTATAAAGCAAAGATAACAACAGAGATAATGTAAGATCCTCTGGCCTTGAATGGAGATAAAAATCCTAATATTAGGAAGCTAAAATTATTAGTGTGAAAATTTTTTGTCAGCCAAAAACGCAAATCATTTACGACACTTGCACAAAAATTGAAACTGGTATCGTTTCGACGAATTAAAATTTACATATAAGACTTCGAGTTTGTTCGATTTCCGAGTTTTGATTCACGTTGGAACGTTTATTAATTGAGATAAACAGACCTTCCAAAGTATTTACAGTTTCCTGATTACTCTCGATATTCTGATCAGTCGCGACAACTTTGGCGCCTTCTCGAGCTAAAACACGACATACCGCCCTTCCGTTACCGTTGCCAGCACCTGTAATCGAAAAAGCGATATTATAATATATCACAACGCGATATAAGTGCGACATTCATGTCGAACGCTTTTTTACTGAACAATATCAAGGTCGTTTATTTCTGGTCGATTAAATCGCGACAAATTTCTCTATAATGATTCGATATATCATGATTGGTAAATATATAATTAGAATCGTTTATTGAAGAAAAGCATAATGAGTTATATAATTCAAAATTAATTAATTTACATAGGCTAAATATTACGTAAAACTCAACAAACCAGTGACAATTTTCCATCCAGGAGCTTCGACACATTATGATTACTGAAATATGTTACAACGATAGAAACGGTATGTGAAGTAATGGTGAAAAAGTAAACGAACGAGTGGCTTGCATATCGACGATATGCAAACATGACTTGCCAAAAAGGAGAGGGATCACGTACTTCTTATCAGAAATTCAAAATCACTGAATCATATTATCAAAGATTACTTAATCTCCAATATTCGTATATGCCATATTCATGACTACCAATTCGTCAGTGATAAAAAAAAATATATAATATATTTCATGCAAATATACAAAATAAATTCTGGAACTTGTAACTACACCACGTACGCACTTATAGAACATCGGATCGGTAACAATAACAGTACTGACAACATTAACGTTTTTTAATACAAGAACTGTTGTCAGTACTGTTATTGTTACTGATCTAATGTTCTATAGATACGTATTGTAATTACAAGTTCCTGAATTGATCTTATATTCGTGTGAAATATATTATATTTTTACAGACGAGAAATAATGATCCCCGTGGCTACTTGTCAGTCACGCGAGTTCCCATAAAATTGCCATGAAAGTTCCTTTAATGTGTTACCTCATCGAGATACAATTACTCGTTGCTACTATCCATCCAGTAAGCAAGAAACGTCAAATCAGTCTTTTGAAACGTTGATTTTATGTGAATTTTATAAACATTTTGACATATTTTATAAATGTTTTTAAACTGTTACTTTATAATATTATGTTCTTAAATATTAAAATCATAGTGTAAAAATATTATTTTTAATGTTTTGATCAAATATTGTTAAATATTGTACAATGACGTTGTATGCAACATTAAGAAATACATATTTAAAAATGTTATATATTATAAAATATCGTTGTAATAACGTTGTGTTAATTGTTTCTCCATCATCAATTCATCGGTCATTAAACAAATACTTTCTATAATGTTTTTAACAACACTCGGAATATTTAAACAGAATATTTATTCAAAATATTTAACAATAATCAAAATATTTTAGCAACTTTCAGAAAAATCATATTTAAAAATAATTTGTTAAAATATATATTAAAATATATATTACTGAGCAGTAAGCAAGGAACATTAAATTAACGTTTAGAAATGTTGACTTTATATATATTTTTTGGACACCTTTTAAATAATATTACGTATATATTTTTAAAAATTATTTTTAAATATGATTTTTCTGTATGTTGCTAAATATTTTTTTAATATTCTGTTTAAATATTCTGAATGTTGTTAAAAATATTATAGAAAATATGTTCTAAATATTACTTTGACATTTATTTGAAGTCAATGCAACAGTTCAAAAAAATTGCTTATAATTTGAATTTAGAAATAACGTTAGTAAAATATTGCTGTTGTTATAATATTATATTTTTCGTATTATTTTAATATGTTCGAGTCTCGCTGTCTGTCCGTTATTTCAAGAAATTGTATGTATGATGACCGAGATAAGAAGTATAATCATGTTATCTCATAAGTAGCCGCAATAATCAGTGGCTGCATGTTTTTATGACTAAGTTCGTCTCGTACGCTTTAATGTTAAAAGCATCATTCTATCTTCTTTCAGCACGCAATGAAGAATAAAGGTAAAATAATACTTTTAGCATGAAAATATGCAAGACGTACTTAACTTATATATGACTTTGGTCAGTCAGTAAGTAGTAAGGTGATTGTCAGGACTTTTATTCTTGAAATAGTTGCGTATGCGTATTACTGCATAGGCATAATTATATCTTAAAGTAATTACGGCACTTACGCAACCATTTTGAGAATAGAGGCTCAGAACAGTATTCATACCCAAAAAGCAAGAAACATTAAATCAATCTTTTAAAATATTTATTTTATGTGAGTTTTAAAAACATTTTGATATAATATTTTACAAATGTTTTTAAACTATTACTTGATAATATATTTAAAAATATTAAAATTATAGTGTAGAAACATTATTTTAATGTTTCGGCCAAATATTGTCAACAGTAACGTTGCATACAATATTAAAAACTACATATTTAAAAACGTTACATATTATAAAATATCATTATAATAACATTGTGTTAACGATGTTTTGTTTACTGAGTAGGTATCGCTGATAGTATATTTAAATTTTATTGTTTCAATAATATTAAACATTTTGGGAATAATAGAAAAACCTTGGCGCAACGTTATTTGCAACGTTACGATGCTCCCATTTCAACATTATCGAAATCTCCAAGTTAGTGTTAAAGCTTGTTTATAATGATGTTGTATGTAACATTAAATACGACATATTTGAAAACGTTACGTGTTATTGAATACTGTGGTAATAACATCGTAATGATTTTTTTACTTATTGGATAGTGATCGGAGATAATCGGGTTATATCGAGAGCGACGATATCGCATTGCGTGCGAGGATCGTCGCGATCCGAACAAAGAAGAAAATGATATATACTCGTTATCGAGCGGCCGCCAGAAGAAATTTCAGGCGGCTCGGAAATGCGATTTTCTCAGGTGCTCGGGCATTTTCCAGCCGGTCTCTCTCTCGCAGAGCGCGAACATACGTAAGCGCGCCCGGCCAATAGGAATCGACTTGCCGTCGCCTTGGCGACGGTATGCCATATGCCGCTGACGTCAAAGCGTGCCCGCAGTGACGTCAGCGAACGCGCAACGCAAGTGGCCGTGTTTACGGAAAAATTGAACTTGAATTATCGGCCCGCGAGATGCGATGCGGCGCGGTGCGGTCGTTACGAAGCGGGCGGATGGACGCGATCGGCCGGCGCTCGTAGTCGCGCGGCGGCGTAACGGGACCTAAATTTAAACAAGCGTTGTACGTCGCGCTGCACGTCGCATGCACATCTTCCGTTCGCGAGGGATCGTCGCCGCGCTTCACGTCGAGCGGAAATTGACCGCGTGCGTCTTTAACGTGTCCTTCGCTCCGCTTTTTCCACACGGGCTGTATGCGACATACCTGATATCGGCAACGATCGGCACTCACGCGCTCCTGTTTGCGCTACCTCGCTTTCGAAATTTTCGTCTCTCGCGCGGTCGTGTCGAGCGATTTCGAACGACGGCGAAGCATAACCGCGCGAAAGGGTCATCGATGAGAGAGAGAGAGAGAGAGAGGAGCCGGAGAGAAGGTGTCGTAGCTTGTAGACGCTGGCAGCACCGGCGCGCCGCGTAACCCCCCCCGCGCTACCTCGCTCGTACCAGTTTTACGTCGGGACGTTTCGAGGCCGCATTGTGTCGCACGTAGAGCGAGAGAGATCAGGTGCGCGACGTCAAGGGCGGCGTATCGCATGCGAGAAAGGACACGGTGAGAGGGAGAGAGAGAGAGAAGCGATCGTGCGACGCGGGTGGCGATCGCGGAGGAGATTGCAGGCGGAGACAAGTTGTGCGCGGCCCAGCGATATCCGTGGCGTATATTCGTGTATGTGATTGCGACTCGACGGCAGGCGCGAGCGCAGAAACAACGCGACAGAGGAAGGTGGCGACGACGCTGCTCAGTCGCGCGGCAAGACGACTGCGGCGTGCTGAGAAACGAGAGGGAGCAAGTGAGAGAGAGAGATCAAAGTAGCGCGCTCTCTCGTAGCCGCCGTTCACGATCCTCAAAGTACGGGTAGCGCGATACACGGGCTACCGAAGTGTTTGGAAGCGGTGGCCCAGGATGCTGCCCGACGTAGCAAGATGGCCGTGATCGGCGAACGCAAATATCACGCGGCGATCCGTGCGAGCGCGTACGCGGAGTTCTCGTGTCATAGAATCGGGAGTAACGAGACGGGCACGTCCTCGGCGTCCTCGACGTTGACGCGCCGTCGTCGGCACAAAAAGAAAGGCGAGCCTCCGCAAGCCCTCACTATGACATCCACCTCGCGCGGAAGCTGTCCGGAGTCCGGCGAGCTCAGCGATCCCGACGACGGTTACATGGACACGGACCCGCTCAGGTACGAGCTGCGCAACATACAGAGCGTCATACACGTCACGCGGCAGAACATCGACGCCCTGAATAATCGCTTCGCCGGCTTCCAGCATCCGCCGTCGATATATCTGAACGAGTACGACGAACTGACGAGTAAATTGCACGATCTAGAGTGCAAGGAGCAGAAACTCCACGAGCTGCTGAACGCGGAAAAGATAACGATTAGTAGCGTTTCCACGTCGGAGAGCGACAATAGCGTCGCTAGAGAGCCCAGGACGCCCGTCAAGACTTTCGGCACGCTGAGAGCGTATCTACCTAATCAGCAACGCACCAGTGTGCAAGTACGAGAGGGGCTCTCCTTGAGAGACGCGCTGGCCAAGGCCATGAAGCTGCGTAATTTAACCACTGAGATGTGTGCGGTTTACATTCTGGGTATAGACAGCTCCAAACACCTGACATCCTGGGACACAGACATCTCAATGCTGGAATGCGACGAGATCTCGGTCGAGATTTTGGATAAGTTCCCTATAACTACTTCCATTTCGCACAACTTTGTGCGTAAGACGTTCTTCTCGCTAGCCTTTTGCGAATACTGCAGGAAGCTGCTCTTCCAAGGCTTTTATTGCAGAACGTGTAATTACAGATTTCACCAGAGATGCGCGGGTGGCGTGCCAGCCCTGTGCCATCAGGTACGCTTACAGGATGCTTACTATCAAGCTCTGCTCGCGCACAATCCAGAGACCACGGCTGGGATCTTGCAGTTGCCATCCGGTTACGGGCTGAGCAGAAGTATGTCCCCTTCTCTTGCTCCGTCGAGAAATCAGAGGCATCCGCGTTCCTTGGGCCAGCACGATCGTTCCAGCTCCGCGCCCAACGTCTGTTTCAACATGGTGAAACCGAGCGGCGAGCCTGTGACTCTGGAAGAGCACAGCAGATCGGAGAGTTTAGGCAGACCTGCTGGCACCACTCAGAGTCCCGTGTCACCTGGCAGCAGTCCAACCAAGTACAGTCAGTCCACGCAGGCCAGTCCTACCAATACTCTGAGGCCCAAGCGACCGAGAGCAAAGTCAGCCGACGAGTCGTCGAAGAACCTCCTAGCACCGAGGGAATCCATCGAAGACTGGGAGATTCCGGAGGATGAGATTTTAATAGGGGCGCGTATCGGATCGGGATCCTTCGGTACTGTGTACAAGGCTCACTGGCACGGCCCTGTCGCGGTGAAGAAACTCAACGTCAAAATTCCCACGACCGCACAGTTGCAGGCATTTAAGAACGAGGTAGCTGTCTTACGTAAGACTCGACATGTGAATATCTTGTTGTTTATGGGTTGCGTCAGTAAGCCGTCTCTCTCGATCGTTACACAATGGTGCGAGGGTTCGTCCCTGTACAAACACTTGCACGTGTTGGAGTCTAAGTTTGAGCTGATAGCGGTGCTGGAGATCCCCAGGCAGACCGCCCAAGGTATGGACTACCTGCACGCGAAGAACATCATTCACCGAGACCTGAAGAGCAACAACATATTCTTACATGACGATTCTACGGTTAAGATCGGTGACTTTGGCCTGGCGACGGCCAAGACCAGATGGTCCGGTTCTCAACAGTTTCACCAACCGACCGGCTCTATTCTCTGGATGGCGCCCGAAGTCATAAGAATGCAAGAAGAAAACCCGTACAGCTTTCAGTCCGACGTCTACGCCTTCGGTGTGGTGTTGTTCGAGTTGTTGACAGGTCAACTGCCGTATTCGAATATAAACAACAAAGATCAGATATTGTTCATGGTAGGTCGCGGCTATTTGCGTCCCGACTTGAATAAGGTGCGTTCCGACACGCCGGAAGCGCTCAAGAGACTCACTGAGCATTGCATCAAGTTCTCGCGGGATGAACGACCGGTATTTCGTCAGATTGTAACTATATTAGAGGCCATTCTGCTCGCTTTACCGAAAATAAAGAGATCGGAGTCCGAACCGAACCTAAATAGAACGCAGCTGCAGTCTGACGATTTTCTGTACACTTGTATTTCACCAAAGACCCCGGGGAACTTTCAGCCGGGGAACTTTGGAGCATTTCCCTTTTATGCTTCCGGTGGGAACATATAAATGTATTGGCTGACACATTATAAGTCTGATGCACATACTGCATAAAACAAGTATTTAAAATATTGAAAATAATGCGATAAGCTTAACACTATGAACAATCTACATAATTCTCTTCAATTACACTCTGATCGTGTCGCAGATGTTCGCTCGATGTGGAATGTGAAAATATTCTTTGATATGAGACCGAGGAGGGGGCAAAGAGGAAGAAAGCTTTGTATCGACTAGGGGGGAGGGAGGGGAGAATAGCATGTGTAGCTTTTATCTTTAGACATTTATCAAATGTTTACAAAGAAACGTAAATTTTCATTTGATTACGATTATTCATATATAAATACACATACACATATTCGTATATATATACACAAGTGTACATATATACATATATTACACGTGCATGCACGTCAATATAACGGTCTGTTGATTTTGTGGGATCCTTATGAAGGATGTAAAACTAAAGTAAGTCACATAAGAAGTAAACGGCATTTAAGTCGTGCGGGCCGTCGCTTATCTGAGGTATTTTTCCAAAGGCCGAAGTGATTTTTGTACCTACTTCCGTGGTTTTTGTCTTGAGTATGCTCATGTAATTCAAATTCTTCTCACATACGATCGCTACATACGTATTGGTACACGGGTTGCTTTGTGGCAAATGATAACGAGAGTCGCGTCGCAAAAATACGTATCGTAGTACAGATTTCCGTTTTAAGAGAAGAAGAAAAGTCGCACATTTATAAAGTAATACGCGCATATACTCATTAATGGGGTGATCTTATAAATGAACCTGCTATAAATTAGGGATATTGATTTTAAAATGGACAAAGATTTCTCCCGACATGCCTGTAAAACGCTTATTTCGTTTGACGAATCATTTCCGAGGATGCTCTTAATTATTCTTCCTACTATTAAGTGTAAGTAAGCAATGCAAAACGGTGCGTGCACGAATGATAACTTCACGCACTGTATACACGCAGCATTGTACTTTCTCGGAGAAAGAAATGTATGACCTGAGAAAAATATTAATATTCTTTTATGCTATTAGAAATGCTTGTGTTTGTTTCGTAATTTATTTAACCGAAGGTCACGTGTTTAAAGAGGTAAGCCAGATAGATGGAAAATCGTAGCAAACGGGAGAGAAATGTCAAGTTAAATATCCCTAATATTTAATAACGCTAGCAAGAGAGAGAAAAAAAGAGAGAAAGAGAATGTGTGACTAGAGGGGAGAGGAAGGAGGCATCGTACCTTTCAGATGCGTACGAAAATTTTTCAAAAGATTTTTGACCTACTTGTCCTTTCATTTCGTAAGATGCTATAGTAAACATATCTATTGTCGAGCAGAGTATAGTTGATCTGAAAATGCTAGTACAATGACTAGTATGTTTTCGGTCGACGTTCTTTTCTGTAAAATATTTCTGAACATCGGCTTGGATGATATCATGGCCTAAGATAGATATAATCATTGTTGGTAACGAGCGTAATAGGATACACGTATTGAAGAAAAAAAAAATTTAACAAGGCGATTAATCATGTATGCGCTTCGAGAAATTCTTTTACGAAACTTTTACCGTAGACTTCGCTTCTCTAACTTTGTAACTAACTCGAATATCTCGCGCGCATCAGTAAATTTAAGTTTTAAAGTTAATTATTCGACACACGACAACGAGAGAGAGGGAGAGAGAGAGAGAGAGAGAGAGAGAGAGAGAAGCAATCTCGAGTATGCGTGCGTAGTCTTTCATATCGATTTGCGTTTGTAATTGATGTTAAACGATACAATTTAATGAACGGAATGTGCGCTCTTTCTTACGGTTGTATCGCTTCTTCCGAGGCTATCGTAAATGCAGGAAGTAACGCAAATTTCACTTCGAATTAACCCGATACAATGCAATTTTTTCGTTAGCGCCGAAGAATTCGATTGTAACGTCGCGTGTCGTTTTAAATCTTCGTCACGACCAAACGTATTTCGTTAATGTACGTCACAAACAGTTCACACGCGCGGAAGGAAAGTGCATTAGCAACGAACGCTCCTTATTTTTTTGCGGAATGTAATATATTTTATTTGACATCCATATTTCGAGAAAAACCCTAAATATATATATAAAATATATATGTAATGTTAAATTCTGTCAATTTTATTTCGATATGCAATTATTACAAAATTTATACGAATTTTTTAAGATGATATTAATGAATATTTATATTTAATATGTTATACACGAAAGATAAAAGGAGATAGAGAGAGAGAGAGAGAGAGAGAGAGAGAGGGAGATGCCATATGTATTAAATGTGTATTCGTACTATTTATAACTATAATAGACATTACAAGTATTATTTTTATTATCATAATACACGTGTGCATAACATTATTATGTAGCATGTACAATTATTTGATATTCAGTCGGCACGTCCTTGATCTTAATTCTGACATTGGGGATCTTCATCGTGCACCTTCCTTCTCGCGCACGAGCGTGCAAGGCCTAAAAACGAACCTTCGAAATCGAGTAGCGATTAGAGTGAGTGATGTTTCTTCTTCCTTTCTATCCCATGACACCCGACCTTAATTTATTATTTATTTATTTATGCGTAATTCATTATATTGCACGGCATTTGAAGCGACTGCAGACAAGTGCCGGATTCGAAAGTTTGTCGAAAGTGTGAGAGGAATTCGTTGCGAATGAGAAAAAGAGCGAACGGGCGAAAGAAAGAGGAAAGGAAGGATGGCGAGCAAGGATGAAGGAGGAATGTGATTAATAAGCAGAGGAATATGCGGATTATAATAATAATAATCGAAGCGAGCCAGACTGAAATTGTACATCGCGAGCGCGTTAAATTAGAGCGAAGCTTTACGTCGTTGATAGCGCCTTCCCATACCGAGGGAAAAAAGTAGTGAACTGTGACAATTAATGATATTGAAATTTACGACAAATGAGGAGGAGGAGGACACGGAGTGGAAACATAAGACTCGTCTTCCGTTTAAGAGTTTTGCGATCGATCTCAGGTTGACAAGAAACATAAATCTTCCGTTTGCAAATCTTGAATCGATATTAATCGAGAAGAGGCTAACGGCCCGCTGTTCAACTAAATAGCGACCACGTAGTTCATATGTTATTGCGCCATCTTTCGTTGTAAAATAGCGCCGTGAACATGCCGCCAGCCAAAAGTTTTCTTTCGCGAAGCCTCAATGTCGGTCGTCTTCCTCCGCCTTTGAAGATTTTACGTGTGCGTGAAATTTTATCGCACCGCGACGCCGCGGTCGTCCGGACACGCGAGCTCTTCCGCGCATCGCTTCGACATGTATCTTCTATATGTAAGGATTCGTATGCGATTATACAGGCGACAGATATATATACACGCGTAACGAAACGCGTTTCTTTCTCGTCACGTCTGATTCAATGTCGAGAGAGCGATGTGGTAGAGCAGATCTAACGTGTCGCTAAACTATTTTACACACGCACACACACACACACACACAAGCGCCCCGGACAAACAATTGCGAAACGACTTTCTCGCTTTTCTCCCCATTAAATCGCAAGTTTTGTCCTCTTCTTCGGGCATAGAAACGGCGGATCTGCTCTCCTTCGAGTTCTAGGCTTTGAATTTAGCGTGCCTCGGATTAGAGAGGCGGCTTTTCGTACGACTCACGCACCATACTTATCTTGCCACATCGTGTCGTGATAGGACTCGTGCTGTTTCTTTTCTTTTGAGCGTTGTCGCGGGTATCCGCGGCTGACCGATTCAGTTGGCGATTCGTTGTTCCTTTCTAGATTGTAGCCATCATCTGCGGCTTTAGACGAAGACGGCGGATTTAGTTGACCGGATTTAACGTTAACCGGACGTCAGTGAAACCGGCTCTAAGTTGTACCGACAGTTTGAGTTAACTGACCCCGGATCACTCTCTGTGCGCGAGACCGATGTGTGTATGTGTGTGCGCGTGAATTGAATGGAATTGAAAGGAAGTCGTTCTGTAGAATACAATTCCTGATCTTCAAAAACGAGAGTCGGCTTCAAATTTCTTCGGTCTCTGTATCCGTTCTCCGCCGTTTTTCTCAACGTCACTTCGTGACTGAATTGGGCGAATAATTTTGTCGACTTGCGCCCAGCTACAGAGTAATTGAGTACAATATCTCTCGCAGTGTCGGGCGTCGAGCGCGAAATAGGGCCGAATTTGCAGATTTAAGAGATTGGAGTTTTTGGAAATTCGTCGTTGCATCGATGCGCGATCGAAACGTGGAGCTTATTTTCGCTTCGATATGGACTGCGCGGTAAAATTTGTTCAATCGAAGTCAGCGCCAAACGATCTTGTCAGCGAATGATTTTTCTCATCGATTTTTTCTTCGTTTTCCTCTCGCGGGAACGCGCCGGGACATTTTTCGAAGTACTCGTCCCGATTGTGCGCGCGGTCAGGGCTCTGTCGTGGATACTTAATTCAATTAATTGCGACGAGAAATCGATCAATCATTGTATCAAATCTGATGAAAAAAATGAATACGCAAGAAAAAGAGAAAAAAAATTTACTTTATCCTCGCGCAATGCGTGCGCGCGCGTGTGTATGTGTGTGTGTGTGCGAGCGACGCGTGTGTTGTGTGCGTGTACATGCAAATTTTACTTCTCTCCGCAGCGTTTCTCCCCCGTACTTTGTGCGCTTTGCTTGACTTCGTTTGTAGGACGTAATTCGACTTCGCACGTTCTTCTCGCGAGGAGAGAGAGAGAGAGAGAGAGAGAGACACGCACACACATCTATTCAGCATCGATTTGTAAATTAAGAGACGCATTAAAAGAAGAAATGTGCTACCATGTCATCGAGTTGTTTCTCACCATTGAACGTATTTCGACCTCTTCATCTTTTCCTTTCGTTTTGCTGGATATGCGAGATAAAATCGATCGATTTGACGTAGATGACTATCATATAATGTTGGCTGATCCAATATCATCGGCGAATTCGCACGGTCTTGGTTTCGAGACAACGGTTTTTCGATGGTGTTCACGGGTTGAAATTGCGGGATCTCGAGCGTGAAATGCTTCGTCGAATTGTCGCCTGTTTCCCACGTGTGTTGGCTTATCCACCTCCACGCACGCCAGAGAAAAATGAATCGCACGCGCGTTGAAACTCGTGTATGCTCTGAATACGTTCGTCCGATTCTCTCTGCTCTTTCACATCGTTCGATTTTTCCACGATATCGCGACAAGTAGTAGCCGGTTTGCTACTACTGTACGAATTAGCTAGATGGAGTGTTCTTGGTTCCGCTTTTAAAGACTTGCTCTCTCGAGTTGCGAGAAATTCTGCCAAATGTCGATTCCCGATTCGATCTTAACGAAAAAGATCGCAGCAGGCGGTGTGTGTGTGCACGCTGAAAATCCTACAGTGCGAAATATGCTACGCGATTCTTCGGTATATCTCGGCGGACGGAAGTGAATCAATAATCCAATACAAGAGCGCGTACGTATAAATAGCCTGCGTGATATATAAAAGGATAATGTTTACGCGTTGCGAGAAATTGCGTGCCGCGACGGTGTGCGGCTCGTAACGCTTTTGTCATCGATAATTCGGGACAGATCGTTGAATACGTATTTAATTCTGTCATACATAAGTGAATGTGACACAGTCTTCCGCGTTTTCCATATTATGCTTACTTGCAGCCGCGTTGGAAAACCACGGATAGTACTTTGACTAATACGAGTGTGTTTATAATTTCGTAAAATATCGCAAAAAAGAGTTACATACGTTAGGTGTGAGCATTCATTCGACTGTAGCGTTTAACTTGGAATATATGATTTCCTTTGGCCTCTTCAACATCAACGGTTATATTATTTTTATCCACCCGGCAAAGTCTTGGACATATATTTTTTTTTATTAGGTAAATATATAAAATAATATATAAATACATCATCTCTCAGATAAATAAGGTTGATGCAATAATTGAGTGGAGGAGATGTATATAAGCGGATTAAAATAGAATGAGGCTCTTATCTGATATTATCTCGTTTGATATTATCATCATTTTGAAACATTTCGCAAGTGTTTCGCTCTGACGCGGATGTAATCAACGTAATGTCCATTTTCACTTATTTAATATGCTTAAAGGACACGTTTTTTGTAACGTGTCTTGTAATTTATCTTCCGCGGCAGATTCCGCCAGTACCACTCCGGTCGGTAACAAGAATCGAGCTGAAAGATGTTGAATGTATAGATGGCGACTTGATAATGCTCCGGCGATGCTTTCGCGTTTTTGTATCACGATTGGAATTGGTATGAGTAAAATAAACCTTTAAAAGTACACATGTAAATATTAATATGTTTATTCAAAATGCGAATTATGTTATACGATATTTGCACGTAATCTAATATTACATTTTTAATATTGCACTTTGAAACACTTTGAAACATCACAGCTTTCGTGTGAATATTGTTCGTTTCCTGCATCGACAAATATAAATTTGCTCAATATAGTGTAACACGTAGTATTAATGGATGTTGATAACCGCGACGTAAATTCAACATTCATTTCAAACTTGCCGCTAAATGACAACGGCTACAATCACGTGATCTTACCGTTCCAATGGCGTGGAACAAAATGTCTCAACGATTCTTAAATCATACTCAATAGAAACCCGAAGCTTCAGTAATATCGGAAACTTGTAAAACTGTGTGTGCTATACATATATTATCCGCAACGAGATGTCAGGAATAAAAGTATACATTCGAGCTGCTACATAGACACTATTTTGCGTGAAATTAATGTGGGAAACAGATTATTGAATTTATGTATCGCTGGAATTCTGAAAAATTGCAAGATCGTGAAGAGAGCTATGCAAGTTTAATATAAACCACTATGTTGTACCACGACACCTCGAGTTCATCACTCAACAATGTGATGTACAAAAGTATAGTATGCGATATCAAGCTGTGTGCGATATGCCCGGAAATCAGGTCCGTAGACGAGATGACGGAGCAAGTCCTTGATCAGAAAAAAATGAGTAAAGGAAGAAAGACAATATCAGACTAAAGTTAGCGGCACACGATGCTTGTTTTCATGCTGGATTATTTGCTGGATAGAAATACCGCGTTCTGATTGGTGCATTTTCAAAAATGGACGACAATACAC